TCTACAAAGTTAATCAGGACTCCTCAAAGGTGTCAAGATCATGAAAAATAAAGACAGACTGAGGAATTGACCCTGATTGGAGAAGATGAAAGAGAAATCACCATTAAATGCAATGTGGGGTCCTGGATTGAATCCTGAGACAGAAAAAAGAAAGTTAGTGGAAAACCTGGTAAAATCCAAATAAAGTCTGTAGTCTAGTTCACATAATTATACCCATGTACAACCATTGTTCTGGTTTTAATATTTACACTATGGTTACATAAGATGTTAACATTAGGGGGAGCTGTGTAAGAGGTATACAGGACTCTGTACTATTTTTGCCAATTTTTCTGGAAATTAAAATTGAACAAAAAAGATTTTTTTCTTAAAAAAAAAGAAATAGACAAATTTCTTATTAAAATAATCCTGATATATTTTCCAGCTCTAGACAGAAAAGACTATGTTTCCTTGCCAAGATATTAATTTGTCTAATAATCCATGATGATTACCCAAGTAGTTTTTAGACTGTTTCAGATCTCAGAGTATTGACCAGTCACGGTACAAATAAAATGGAGCATCACGTCACTCAGTCACGGCTCACTTGCGATTTGTCCTTTAGACTGGGGCAGGCCACAGTCTGTAAAAGCTTCCCCATCTAATGATACTACTGGCTTTCTTCCTCTGTGGGCTTCAGTCAGGGATTAACCAATGCTGGAACAAAATGGTTCTTTCCTATCTTATAGGGCTTGTGGGGGGAGGATAAAGGAGGATTTGCATTTCTGTTGGCAGAATTCTGGGAAGTACAGAACCCTGGAGGGAAAGCCAGGAAACTGAGATTCTTATCTCAGTTCTTATCATTTGGGGGCCCTGGGGTTCCAGGTGAATTGCTGATCACAGATCCTTTTTGATAAAATCAAGCCTTTTTGAGCAAGACCTAGAGCTGTGATTCTCGCCCTTGGTCTGGTACTAGAATCTTCCAAGAATCTTTTTTTTTTTCCTTCTTTCTCATTCTAATGCCAGGGCTTGTGTCCAACCCCCAGAGATCCTGATGGAGCCCCTTTGGGGGTCCAGCTCAGGCATGCAGATATGTTGAAGCTTCCCAGAGTGGCATGATCAGGTAGCCAGAGCTGAGAACCACTGGCCCAGAGGACTTCTTAATTTTAACTTTGTAGAATGTATCGGTAATCATTATTCAAACAAAATAAGGCAACAGAATCAGGTCTTAAACAGTCTTCTCTTCTATCTAAAAAGACAAAGAAGACTATAGTAAAGGCTGGCCGTGGGTAGACAAGGCTACGGTAAGAAGCTCTAGCCATAGTTTGCCAAGGTTGCTCTCTATGCCCATCTGACCTAGTTTCATCTTTTATTTATTTATTTATTTTGGTACCAGGGATTGAACCCAGAGAGTCCTAACCACTGAGCAACACCACAGCTCTTTTTATGTTTTATTTGGAGACAGGGTCTCTCTAAGTTTATCAGGGCCTCATTTAGTTGCTAAGAGCTGGCTTCGAACTTGCAATTCTCTTGCCTCAGCCTCCTGAGTTGCTGAGATGATAGGCATGTGCCACTGAACCCAGCTATTTTCATCTTGAATAATGATTTATACTAAGAACTGTGATATGGAACATGCCCTAGAGATTGTTCAAAAACTATATTCCAGCAGTTCAAGAGGCTGAGGCAGGAGAATCACAAGTTCAAAGCCAGCCTCAGCAATTTAGTGAGGCCCTAAGCAACTTAGTGAGACCTTTCTCAAATTAAAAAATAAAATGGACTGGGATGTGGCTCAGTGGTTAAGTACTCCTGGGTCCAATTCTCGGTACAAAAAAAAAACTATATATATATATATATATATATATATATATATATATATATAAAACAATATATTTAGTTATAGGTATACAGATACCTTATGACAGGAGTGTGATTGGAAACACTCCCTTGTCCCTTTGGGGACCCTGTCCTTTTTCTGTTCTTCCCATTCTCCTTCCATCTGTACTTCTATTGTCTACACTTACCTGGATATCCACTCTTACAATAAAATATAAATAGTTTGCCAGGCAAGGTAGCACACACCTCTAATCCCAGCGGCTTGGGAGGCTGAGGCAGGAGGATTGCAAGTTCAAAGCCAGCATCAGCAAAAGCAAGGTGCTAAGCAATTTAGTGAGACCCTGTCTCTAAATAAAATACAAAATAGGGCTGGGGATGTGGTTCAGTGGTCGAGTGTCCCTGAGTTCAATCCCCAGTACCACCCCTCCCCAAAATGTGAATGGTTGACATTGGTGACATATATCTATTTGGGTAGGCTAAGGGTTGGAGAGGAGAAACTTGCACTATTTAAAATATACCAATAACTTAAGCAGAAGTATCAAATCCTCATGCCTATAAGAAAGCTGATATGGAAGGCAGATATGGGGAAGCCTTCCTTGGAATTGGAGAACTTGTGACCCATCCAAGGGACCACTTTCCTCTGCTTGAGCCAATCATGGCCAGAGACTATGTTGGTCTAGCACTACCAGAATTTTTGATCTGCAAGAAAATCAAGAAATCTTTCCGTCAAGTTGTAAATGCTGGAAACCAAATTTTTAAATAAATAAAACAACACTATGTGAGCCAAAGGAAACACTTCTGCAGGGCAGACCCTACCAGTTTGCAGTCTTTTCTTTAAAGGTTAAAAACAGCGAGAGTAGAACTGCAGGCAAAACTTATGCATGAAAGAAGTGTTTTGTTTTGTTTGGGGAGGGGTATTGATAACAAAGGAGCCTTTCTGTTCCTCTAAAACTGCTAGATTTTCCCCATACTGGCTTGTGGGGAGAAGGGTGGATAATAGCTACCTGTGGAAGCCAGGCTGTACAAGTACAGATGCAGAGGCTGTCCCTGGTGGTAGGAACAGGCAATGCCTGCCACAGTGTCCAAGCTCAGGTGTGGCTCAGGCAATTACCAAGGGCAAGGGCAGACCATTGGGAAGTGAGAGCTTGAGAGTCAAAGGGTAGACAGAGGGCAGAGGATAGACACCCTGGAGTCCCGTGATTCTGAGATGCTGTGAGTCCAATTAGAACAGGATGCCTTCCAGGATGATGACATGGCGGAAAATTCTAGCAATGCAGGTAAGGAGGGAAGAACGAAGGGAAAGATGTCTTGGCCCCAGTCAAATACACTAGGGTTCAAGGAAGAGCTCAAGTACCAGAAGGGAGATTAGGTTGGGTATCCCATGAACTAAAGCAATATAGATAAGGTAGTGCTAACGCAGGAAGAAGAAGAAGAATTCAAACTGCAAGTTTCAGGTGTGGCAACAAGGGCAATGGAGTTACTCTGACTATCAGAAATCAAATATATTTTAAATAATCCTGAGTTCTGAACCCAACTCATCAGGAGACTGTAACTATAGGTCATTTTCCTCCTCTGGGCAAGACTAATTCCAGGTGGGGATAGATCTAGATGTACAGGTACAGGTCATTCTTGTGCCTAGCTCTGGGAAACTAAGAAATGATAGAGCCAAGGAGGGAGCAAGTCCCAGTACCCAGTACTAAAATCTTCTCAGAGGAATTAAGTATTTACTCTGCTCATGTCTGAAACACTGGAAGAGAAAATCAGAATTTGAATGTCATTCACTATGCCAACTCTGCCCTAGTCACTGGGGACTAACATAGAAAGGCAGGGATGAAGCTCAGTGGTAGAGCACATGTTTAGCAGGTGTGAGGCCCTGGGTTCAATCTCCAGCACCAAATATAATAAATAAATGAATAAAATGAAAAAATTCACATAGAGACCAGGACTCAGGATAACACAGAAGCAGACTCTTCACAGACGATTCCAGAAACACAACAGCCAGTCGTCTCTGACATGAGTTTGCTATCCTTTCCAAGGGTGAGAGCAAGCAAAAGTGGACTACTGTCCTGCCAAAGAGCCTAGCATACTGGCATCACAGGAATTTACCCAGCTGTCTCAGCGGCAGTCATCTAAAATTCCCATTCACCAAAGAAACGCCAACTTCGTTTTTATTCCTGCTTTGACTGGCCGTGCAGAATGCCCTGGTGGTAAAAATGAAATGGAAAGAACTGACCTCCGAATAAGCTCAGACTTCACTGCCAATGTCCTGGATCATTTGTGGAACGTGATCCATGAGCCTCAGTTTCCTTGTGTTCAAATGAATTTAACAACATCTGTTCGACTTACCAACTTCACAGGGCTGGTGAGAGAATCAACGCCCTAACTTGGTTAAAAAACTTCTTATGCCAGCAATTATCAATGCAGAGGGGCAAACTCTCCTGGAGAGGATATTATCCAAATTTCTAGACCATTTGAAAAAAAAAAAAAAGGAATGAATCTACATTTTTATTTGGAAACCTTCAACAAATCTTCGGTGTTGGCTTTCACCTGGTGGCAGCTCCTAATGTGTAGAGAGATCTGTGAAAAATATTGAGGTTTTTTCCAAAAAGCAGTGGGATTTTGAAAAGTTGCACATTTGCCTATATAAATATAAGACCTTAGTTCTTTGGTTTCCATTACACTTATCCTTCTTATTTTCCTGTGTTAACAAAGGTGCATATTACAAACAGGAGGCAAAGACTCGTGAAGCTGCTGTAAATCTGGTGTTTTTGTTTGTTTGGCTGTTTGGTTCTGTGGTTGTTTAAAGTAACTTTCACACTCAAAACCTTGAACCTGACCCTCCTTTTAGCATCTCAGTCCTTTGAGGCTTCAAAGGAAACCTAGCAGAAATATCAGCAGAGCAGGTCATCAAGAGGAAAGGCAATCAAATGGAAGGTTTATTTTATATTACTCTTGGAGAGAGAATTTTACAAATTTCTTCCTCAATGGTAGAAACAGTTTCGTTGGCTTGACTGCAGTTGTGATAAACAGAGTGCTCCTTGCTGTTTTGCATAGAGATGTTTATGCATGGCCGGGGAAGTGCTGAAGCATTCATAGTTAACTCACACACCTCCAGCTTTCATCAAATCGAAGCGAAAATGATCAGTGCAGAAGGTTCAAGTTCTGAGTTACACTTCAGAAATCTCAACCCATCATTAGAGCGAAAACACTAATTTTATTTCTCCATAAAACATTAACATTTTTACCTTCCTCTATCTTTACATAAGCCTTAATTTCTCCCTGCATTTAAGGAAGGAAGGATTTGGTATGATGGAAAGCATCATTTTTTTTAGCTATAAATTTTGGGTTGCCTGTATGATCTACAGCTTGTATGTTCCGGGGTCAGGTATTTTACCTTTCTTCTACTCTAAAATGGAGATGGTCTCAAAGTGGTTTTGTGGGTAATAAGAAGTTCATGTATGTAAAGCACGTGGAATATCATGGCAAATGCTTTATAAATAACTGTTAATTTCTTAGGACTTTTTTTTTCTTTCTCTCTTCCTCCCCCTCCTTCTTCTCCTCCTCTTCCTTCTTCGTCTCTTTACTCATCTCTTCAAGTTTTCATGTCACTTTGAGTCTCTATTCTGTTTCATAAATTGAAAGACATTATCTTTAGGCTTTGAGTAATATATTTCAACTAAGTAGAAACAGAATAGCATCAGATTACCTTAAAAACAAAAAAAAAAAAGAACCAGCAAATGTTCCTCAATCTTAAAATTTCTAATTTACCAAAGCATCACTTTTGGGGTGTTCCATATTATTAAGTGTTTCACACTTTAATCAAAGATATCTTTCCTCCCCAGACAAGGCACATACCATAAGAAATACTGCTAAAAGTCATTACTATTGACAGCAATATTATCAAAGTAATTAGAGGACCAGTGACAATACTTTATAATGCTCTGAATGGTTTATCAATGAGACCTGGGATAACCAAACTCCATAGAGAATGAGGTCAAGAAAGGCAAATAGCACAAGATCCAAGGTCAACTGTGTCACCAATAGTTGTCCATAGAAAATCTATCTCCATCAGGACACCTGAGTTGGGAAATTTTATGATCATAGATTGTTTTATTTGTACTTTCATTAAAAAAAAAACACTTAAAATTTGGCAGAAGTTTTTAAAATGATGATTCTTTCAAACTACCATGCCAGACAATGTCATTTATAAATCAACTGTAATTAAAGCTAGGAGCACATGGCAAGATGCCCACCCCAGGGCTCCAGGTTTCCTCCACATGGGGATGACACAGACCTCGGTTTCTTGCATAACCTGCTGGCCATTTTGATTGAAGTGGTACCTCCTCAAAGGCAAAGAAGATGAGTCTGCAGGCAGGAATTACTTTGTGGGGAAAAAAAAAATCTTGATGAATTTTAGGAAAAATATTTAAAAATCAACTGATGGAGAATGCTACTATTTTCATATTCGCATTTTATTCCAAACTTACTTTATTTCCCTCTTGTTTTTCCATGTGGTTTTATGCAGAAATGATCTGAATGTAAAGCATGAAGAGATGGCAGTGAAACCATTTGGCGTGACTTGGGTCAACACCTGGTTGATTTAAATCAGTTTGATCACCTCTCTCCTCCCTCTCTGCCACGCGAAGGTCCAGGCCACCATCCCCTCACCTGCATCCCTCTAACAGCTCCCAGCTGCTCTCCTGCTCACGACTCACCTCTCTCCAATCCATTCTCCACAAAGAAGCACAAGTGAAGGGATATTAATTATATCATGTTGCTCCTCGTCATTTAATCAGCCCTAATGCCACCATCTGGTAGCTTTCTGCCACCTTAAAACTAAAATTCTACTTTACACACTGACTTCCATGGCCATCCTTGGTCTGACCCTGTTTCTTTCCAATCTTGCCTCCTCTCCCTAGCCCACAGTAGGTATTCAACTTGATGAATAACCAAGTAAATGAATAAATGATGATTTCCCTTTCAAATCTTTTCATTAATGATAACAGATCTATGAATTAGGGATATAATGGCTAAATTTTCTAGAGAGCCTAGGTACTCTTATATTTCTTATATTCAAAAAAAATGGCCAATGTGTACTCTTAGGGCTGAGTGGCTAAGCCTGCTTTGCTCTGGGAGGATGTGGGATACCACTTATGAGAGACAGCCCATCACTGCCCGTCTGTGCCATGCCACCATTATTTTAGCCAGCTTTTTCACCACTGTGACGAAAAGACCCAACCAGAACAGTTGTAGAGGAAGAACTACGGTTTCAGAGGTCCCAGTCCATAGAAAGCTGGTTCTTCTGGGCTCAAGGTGAGGCAGAACATCATGGCGGAAGAATGTGGTAGAGAGAACCAGCTCACATGATGATCAGGAAATAGAGAGAGAGAGAGATTCCACTCTCCAGAAACAAAGTATATACCCCATAGCCACGCCCCCAATGAACCACTTCCTCCAGCCACACCCCACCTGTGTCCTGCTATCCCTCAGTTAATCCCATCAAGGATTGGTTTAAGACTCTTATAACCCAATCATTTCTCCTCTGAACCTTCTTGTATTGTGTCACACGTGAGCTTTTGGGAGACACCTCCCATCCAAACCATAACAAGTACCCAGCAATTTCTTGTCCCTGGAGTGGAATCTTAAAGTGGTGGGAGAACAGGAAGAGAGGCACGTGTTAATGATGGAGAACGCCTTAGAGTAGGTAGCCTGGTCTAGAGTTCAATCGTGAAAATCCAAATGGTCAGGCCCAGGGCTGGTGGGTACCTCTGGACACCGAGTAGATTTGTCTGGAGATCTCAGAATTTAGGGGCTACTTAGAAGAACTTAGACCACAATGCTGCACTGCCCTGGAGAAAACTTTCAGTTCATTTCAGGTTTCCTTGTTCCAAAGGCTTGTTTGTGAACTGTACCAACTAACCCGGGACTCTTATACTTGGGGACATTGGACTCGGACTTGTATTGTGTAAGTGATTTGTCCCTGGTGGATGGAGACTGAGATCTGAAACTGAAATTCATTTTCTGAAGGCATGTGTCATTCCATAGTTCCTTCCTCGGTTTGACGGGGTGCTCTCAATTGCCCTTAGCTTCTGGACGAGGGCAGACTGAGATGAAGAGTGACTGTGGTAATGCTAATCAATCACCAAAAGCCTCAGGGGATGAATGAAGCGGGAGAACCTCACCCAGCCCTGGAGAGGTTGGGGATTTCTACTCCCACTCTCTGGAATACCAAAGCCTCTTGCTTTTTATTTGCCATCGATTGGTTGATGGAATTGATCAGACAAGCTCTCTGGGGAAGTTGACTTGTTAGGACTGGAGACCCAGAGGATGAGAGCAGAGCTCAAAGCCAGAAACGGGTGTTCTGAATCATAACCCAGTTGTCCAGTGGGAAATGCAGCTGAGAGAAACCTAGTGCTTTTGTCATTGGAGGGGGGATCATTTACTATAAGAAGCTCTTCCTCAGCTTTACTCCCACCTCTACCTTTGTTTGTTCAACCTTTCATCTATTGACTTTAAATTAAAAATAAACTCTAAAAAACATAGCACAATGGAGTGTCCGTGGCTAAGTGATCACACAGCACTTGCCCCAAAGAATGAAACAATTGAAACCCAATCAGTCTTGATAAGGTGCTAGACTTCCCGTTGCTTTGACCCCTCACCTTCCGGCATCCTGTTCTGGGACAGAAATGACACCACAAAGGTTTCCTGTGCCTGTCCTCTCCACTTCTGACCCCTCGCTACATCCTCTCTCCAGCTATTTGGAGAGCAATGATTTGGCAGCTCTGGAATCCCTCCCGGTTCATATAGTGGATGACACTCGTTGCTAATTTGGGGTGCCAGGAATGCGGGCCAAAGCCCGCGGTGAGCTCACATCAGCCTTCAGCCGCCTACTCACCAGCTTCTTGGCAAAGAGGGGGATGTGAGATTCCTGGCCGTCCCTGGTCGTCCTTTGCCACGGGGGTCCCTTCTCACTGCAGTCTGACTCCCCTGGGTGTCTGAACCGAATTAACTCCTTAGTTTCTTCCAGGTAACTTGTCATTGTCACCCATCAGCGTCATTCAGGGCAGCTGTGAGGAGGGTCCTCTGGAGGCAGCCTGAGTTCAAGGGCACTGAGGCTGGGACTGAGGGGTCACCATCTTGCTGTCCACCCTGTGGCCCTCAGAGATTTCCTGTCCTCCTGGACGATCTTGTTTCTAGAATTAAGATT